CAGACGTGTTTCTCGGTATTGCTCGCTACGTCAAAATTAGATAGAATAAACGCTTTCTCTCTTAATACGCGTATGATATTCCTAATATAGATCATCAGATTGCGGAAATGGTGCATTTTATGCATTTCAAGAGAAATAAAGATCATATGATTATAGATTGAAGATATAGGAAATTTATAATTATGATATAAAGCGAAACTTTTCTTTGAATTATAAATATCTTTAGTCTGCGCTAGATTTTTATACAAATATCTGTTAGACTCAGAAACGTGAACATCATTATTTTCTGATATAAGTATGGACAACATCCAACGTAATTTGATAAATTAATTTGCTGTTATGACATGTAGCAAACAATTGGAAGCAACTCCATAAAATACATCTATATTTGAGTCATGAAATGAGGATGTGACACGTATCTTGCTAGAAGCAAACCATTTTTAACACTTGCTTTAAACAGAAAAAAATTATCTTAAAAACTTTTATGGCATATAGAATTCTGCGGCAGACAAAGAATCATGTTTCATCAAATTCCCGATCGTTCGAATTTCGTTCGAAGTTTGACGAACTTATTTCAGAATATACCTTTGCTTGCGATAATAAAGAAAAAAAAGGGACATTCGGTTCTCTCTCTCTCTCTCTCTCTCCGGTTGAAATAACGGCCGCGAATTCGCCGATCAGTGGCCGCGACACATCGTCGTTACGAAACCGATCGGCGGGTGGGACAAGGACATAGGGGTGGAGAAGGAGGTGAGGCGCGGGAGGACGGTGGTGTCCTGCGCGGGAAACGGATAACCGAAACTGCCGCGTATGCACGCGTACAACGGGTGGGCGTACGTGGTAATACAGTGGCCATGCGAGCTTGATTACACATTGCGATCACGAGTGTCCCACGAGCGGGCGGACATAAGGCCTTTTGTCGCACTATGGCCTACGGGCAGGAAGCACGTAGCGTGACACCCGGCCGCGCTCGGTGTACGAGTGGCACCCACATTATACGCCGAGTAATATGTACACGAAGGGGAGAGCGAGAGAGAAGGAAGGAGAGACACAGAGAGCGAGCAGGCGAGGACGATGTGTGTGGCGAGAGAAGAAGAGAGACAGAGCGACGCGGTAAAGGGGGGCAGAAGGGAGAGAGGGATCGGCGGGGACGGCAGGGGACGCGCTATAATACTCGGTGGTGGTCCCATGCCACTACGTGACTTGTGTGCGGCTCTAAGCCGAGACATATCGCCGTCCCGGGGCCCCGTTTCTGCCACCTAAAGGAGCGCGCGGATATATCGCGCGCGCCGAGGCCATTATACCGCCGGCTACCGTGCCGGACGGGGACGGTTCGATCGGTCTTATTGAATTTGCTCCCCTTCCTTTCCCCCTCCCCCGCCCCTACCCCTCCCCGTCTCCGGGAGCACCCGCTCGACTTTGTCGGGTTTGTCTCCCGATTGTTCGTCGCGAGTTATCTAAGCGCAGTCCGCCGCTAACCTAATCGGGTCACCCATGCACTCCGCGCAATGCCAGGCTCTCACAGTTTTTTCACCTCGTCGGGTTTCCGCGCCGTCCGACGGAGCGAGCGTTTGCGCACTACTACTATGTTCAACGAAATCGGAGCGCGACGAGGTAACTTAATTTGCGACTTCGTGCTTTAGACGCTTATTAAGTTTCTCTCTCTCTCTCTCTCTTGACACGTTAAAATTTTGCGTTCCGCCGAGAGAAGACCGTTCAAGATCCTACAGTCACTCACAAAGACTTAATACTAAACGAGCTTGCATGTGATGTCTCGATTTTAGTAATTATGAAGATTTCTGTGATGCAATTATAAGTTTTCGATTTCATGGAGAATGGGAACATTCTGATGATTGTTTTTTCAAATTAATATTTCTACCGATACTTTCTTATTTTGTGCGCGCGAGTTTAACATTATTTTTTCCGATTCCGTTAAATATCACATCACTATTTACGAAATTATTTTCGTAGTTTGAGAGAGAGAGAGAGAGAGAGAGAGAGAGAGAGAGAGAGAGAGAGAGCAGTTTTCTAAAAGTAAAAAGCACAAATATTCCACAGTGCTACTTTGTCCGCTTTGGTGTCTCCCCATTTATTCCATCTGCGAGCTCGCGGTCCGGCAACGTGGATTAAATGCGACCGCGGTAGTTAATAGGTGCTTAATCGAGCCGTTAATTAAGGCGCTCCGGGATCGCGGCTCTCGAAATAAACCTTTTCGCACGTTTCGCGCGATCGTATCTCCGCGACAGGGCAACGTCGGTTATCTGGCGATGATATCACCGTGACTTTTCGACACCGTATCCTACCTTCCACTTCACTCTCTCTATAACTCCTCCTCCCTCCCCCCTCTCTGGCTCACTGTCAATTGAAGGAAATCGCGTACATCGCGGCCCCGGCCATTATGCCAGCCACCGCGCTAGACGCTTCGATCGGCCTCATTGAATTAGTTTCCGCCAGCGGGCTTGTTTCTCGATTGTCTGGCGTAAACCGCAGAGGTTTGCCATTTTACTCGGGAACCCAGTCGGTCGGTCGGTCGACCAGTCCGCTCGCTGATTGACATTCCCGAGGGCGATAATCGCGAAAATAAGAAATCTGTCCCAATGCCAGTTCATCGCGTGACTCTCCTGCCGAGGCATATCAAGCTGGAGTATTTAGGAATATATTTTCGGTCTGTAGCATTGACATTAGAATATCTAGCCTCTATCATGGGCACGATAAACGGCTTATTATTTTATATTAGTTTTATATGGATATGGACTTTTATAACGATATATTTTAAACTGATGTTTTTGTAATAAAAATGTAAGAAATATATTAATCGTTTTTTTAAACAAATTTTATTTATGTTTATTTTAAACAATTTTGTATAGTCTCTCTCTTATAAATTAAAATTGATTTTATTAATCAGTTAAAATATTGATTATTTCGCAAGTTATTATTTTATAAGTTACTGTTTTTATACATACAAGGTGTAAGATACGATTCTCTATTTTGTTTCCCCCGCTGTCTCAAAATCTCATCGAAGCAATTCATCCGGATTCAAGTCTTCTACGATTTTCAACAATTTGCGCGTTAGCGAAGTCCCAAAGTCGCGCCGACAGAATTGGCCGTTTCCGATCTCCGCGAGATTTCATTTTGATATCCTTCGGCCACGGTGGAACGACTCGTTGGCCCGGTATTTCAAGGATTATCCTGATATTCTGCGACCCATGGGGGCTTTAAGTGTCGCCCTCGGGCCGTTAGCGAACTGCCCAAGGTGGACGGACAGTCCGATCGAGCTTATTGAATTAGCTCCCTGCTCTTAGGTACGCGCCGCGGATTGCGGATTGTACCGCTCGACCGCGTTTATCCACAGTATGTACATGAACTTCGATACGACTTGCGGTCTCGGACGACACATCCCGCCTCGCTACACAAATTTACACTCGGCACACGAACACAGACGAATTGTCGACAGTTTTGTCTCGATAGAACAGCGGGAGAGATAAAACGTTCGTCGGAGGGCGTGACATCGAAGGGTGCCCGATGCGTATCTCGTGGGACGGAGGAGGGGGAGGGGGAGAGAACCCGTGCGAAGGGGTGGCTTCATTTTTCGGTCGTTATATCTCATTATTTCCCGGCCCCCATCCACCGCAGCTCTCGCTGCGGGAGGTTGAGAGCAATAACCGTTCGATCCCTGCATCGTGTTTTTTTTTCTTTTTCAATGACACGTGGTGGGTATATACTATATTTTAGTCCCGATATCGGTCATGTGCAGATATACGCGGGGCGCAAAAATGACCCACGCGCGAAAGGAAGGTCGCGGCGGCTAACCGGTTTTCCACCGTGTTTAGTACGTCGTGTAAACTGCTGGCTAATTGTGCTGGCGTCGTTGACTTATCCTTAATGCAGCTCTTGCGAAAAGTCCCCGTTTCTTCATATGCGGTTAGAGTTGAAACGTGATATCCACAAAGAAGGCTTCTACCTTAGGCGTATGATGTGCACATGCGAGAATAATTAGTCTTTCCTCTCAGAGAAAGGTTCATCTTTTTCGCATTGTTTATGATAACAATCTCAGTTGAAGGGCTTATTGCAACAGTGAGCTAATCCATGTTTTTGTGAAACAAAAACAGAGAAAATGAACTCTAAAGTTAAAGTAATGGAAAAGTACATCCATTTGTACCAATGTCACATAATCGGCTACGTTGTGGATTAGTCTATTGTAGCAAATCCTTCAATTGTATTCTTGAAAATTAACAAAAATATGTGAATTGTTTATTTGAAAACTGTAGCGGAATTTCGAAACGCAATAGATTTAAATGATTAAAAATGCAAACCGACTCTACTTATTCCAGCGAAACTTCTCGTTTACGTTGCTTTCAAAATAAACGATCGAGTTTGCTGGGCGTTAACGGGTTTACGATTCTCCGATATACGAAGCTCGAGGGAGACGGAAGTGATCGGCTCGCTTAAAACGGAAGGGTTTTCACAGCGAGAGTTTCGCGCCGCGCGAGAGACGCCACGCCGCGCGTCTATTATCAGACAGAAGGTGGTAGGCAACGGGAGTCAATTTCCCGAGTGAATTTCTGCCGCGTATTATATCCCCGAGCAGCTATAATCTACCTCTCCCACTGACGATAGTCTCCACTCGGTAGTCCATTAGCGGCGCCCCTCGCGCGCTTAAACGTTTCCGCCGCTTAATTGCGCATAGCTAATTTTCCTCGTCACATTTTCGTCCCTCTTTTGTTTCCAGGGACGCAGCATCACCTTTGCCGTCGTCGTCCCGAAGGAGGACACCGAGGCGATATACTCGTGTGCAAGACCGTCGCCGCCGCGGAGTGGACTTATCTGAATCTCAGATCTTCGCGTACGAACGCCGCGGTATTACGAGTGATTACGTGGATGATCTTTGTAGTGTGATCTTGTGTGATCCTGTGCTCGAAGTGTGCTGGTCAGTGTCGATGTGCCGGTCGCAGGATAACGGTGAACGGAAGCCCGGTTGCGACACGTAAATCACGCACGATATGGCTAGCGCGACGACGATGGGTCTGCGTCGCAGAGCACCGGTGAACAGCTCGCCGACACCCTCAAGCCAATCGCTGTCCACGGGCGCGTCGTCGAGCAAGCGCTCGAGGAGCGAGAACAACAACAGTCCGTCCCATGGCAATTTGAACTCGATGAACGGCGGCACTCGGGACGAGCCGCCGACGAAGAAATCTCGCGGGACTTCGACGAGCGGAGGGAAGAGCTGTCCCACTTCCTCGGCAACCTCCATCTCGACGAGCGCAAGTATCTCGACCGACAGTCAGATCTCGAAGAGTCGCGGAACTTCCGTCTCGAGATCGGCTACTCAGACGAAATCGTCGTCCACTTCGACGGCTGCCAGCACGGCCGCTGCCTCCTCGACGAGCGATATATCGAACGGCTCCGTGCTCTCGACTAGCTGGCCGACCACGTCGAACATGTCGGACGTGCCGTCGTACGCTTCCGTGACCGGGCTGGGCTTGACGGGTGGACAAACGGCCGGCCTGTGCGCCGGAAGTCTCGGCATGCCACCTACGCCGATTCCGCCCTACATGTCGACCTCCATGGCGACCTTCGTCGGCAACGCTACGAACCTCGGCAAGAGCTCGTCCGTTTCGTACCTCGACATCTCCAACATGACCGGTGGTTCCTTGGCCGCTTCCGGCGCCGCGAACTCGTTAAACGGCGGATACGCGGCGAGCGGCGCGGTAGACACGAAGAGCGGAATAGCAATGTCGTACTCGGCGATGTCGTCGCCGAATATGAATGGCGGCGCGTATGGCGTGCAAAAGGGGCAGGCGGGCCCGAAGGGCGTCGACGGGGCCGCCGCGTCGCCGAGAAAGTTTCAAAACGACGCCATGTTCAACACTTATCAGCCGTGGGTGATCAAGACGTACGGTGATCTCGCCAAGACCAAGACGATCACCATCAAAAAGTACGCGCGTATCTTGAGGACTTTACGGGGCGAGGAAGTGAACAGCGCCGAGAACAGCAAGTTCCGCTTCTGGGTCAAGAGCAAGGGTTTCCACATCGGCCAGCCGGAAGGCTACGACGCGAAAGCGGCCGACAGGATTATCGGACGTCACGCCGTCACGAGCCCGGGTCTGGATCCGCCGCTCTACGTGCCCACGCAGCTGCCGCACAACAAGGTGAGTACGTCCAAGCGGATTAGCCTGCCTTCCCGTTAAGCGCGGGAGACACGTCCCTCAGGTAGAGCCCACGAGCGGCCGAAGGGATTAAGTTAGTGAGCATTTGCGGGAGGCATCGAGATATAATCTCTCTCACCGATCGGAGGAAGTCGACGCGGATTTAACCGATAAACGAAGCGCGACCGATAAACTCCACGTCGGAATGCGTCGCGATGGAACCTTTTGCTTTTGTCGAGCTTATTCAGCGTGAAATGCAGGGATTTGGATGAAATTAAATAGATTTTTCATGCCTTTCAAGTTTTCACTTCCAACCGTAGCGTCCGCACCGGTGGCCCAGATTTACATATTAATGCATCAAACGTCCTTTCGGTATTTCTTACACTTCCCAAGCGAATATTTTGAAAGAAGACGATCAGGGAAGGTCACAATAATTTTACTATACGCGCTAACCATACGCGGAGGAATGGTAATAACGTCGCCGCGCGAAACTGTCCTATATTCAGCCCGTAAATTCTACTTTCTTATCCTTATTCCTGGAAAATTGACTTTCGAGCTTCTAGCCATGCGGATTGGTCGTTTTGCATGCGGCAACCCACCGCGCGGCGAACTTACCGCGGCGGCCCACTGAAACGCGGGGTTTATTGGTCGGTAGGATTTATCTCTACGGACGAGTTGGAAAAACCGCGAGAGATCTCGGGCGCGGCACGCTCGAGGAATAAGAGAGAAAGAGAGAGAGAGAGAGAAAAAAAATAGAGAGAATGATCTCGGCGTGTGCAGATAAGGCGGACGCTTAATTGCGTCTAATTATGTATATACGCGCGTGCACAGCGGTGCGGCCGGTGGCCAACGCCGACTCGCTGCCGCCGCCGCCGCCGTCGCCGCTGCCGCCGCCGCCGCCACCTCGTCCGTCGACGTTCTCCGTCGGTGCAACGGCGCTTCGATCCAGTTTCCGGAGCTTTGCCAAGCCCCCAGAGTGAAAGAAAGAGAGGAAGAGAGAAAAGGAGAGAGGAACCGTTTGCCACGGCGCCGCGCCGTTCGCCTCTTCGGTCGGTAACACTTCCGCGATTTTCTATCCGCGTCTTCTCGCCGCGGAATTCGGCAAAACGAAACCCACGAGAGTACGCCCCTCCTCCCTCTCCTCTCTCTTTCTCTCTTTATTTCTCTTTCTCTCGCCTCGCCCTCGAGCTTCCTCGTACCACGTCTGATACGCTACTTTAAGGCCGTCCGATAACGTGCTAAATTACTCACGGCGAATTCGATTGGATGCACTAGGCGCATCTCTTTCTCGCTCTTTCTCTCTCTTTCTACTGCATTAAAGTCTGTCGTATACGCTATAATATTATCTGGATTTAAAAGCGCCGATATAAACACCTTGATTGACGAAACGCCGAGCATATTAATCTCCCAAACAATGCGACAGATTGTACCGAGCCTCTCTCGTGATTCGACTCTCGCTTACGGTACCCGTGGCCTTTACGTCGATTTGTGTACGACGGCCTTTAACGTGCGCCAGTGCGCACTACCGCATCCAACCGAATTCGCTATTACACAGCACCGCGTCATCGTGCACACCCTATCGAGTCTGCGCTGAATATTCCGGGAATATCCTGCGATTTACTCGCGCCGGAATGTCTTGATTAAACTGGTCATGAGGTTACGGATAACCTCGATAAACGGAAATGTAATCTAATCTGTAAAATTGATTTATATTTTCGGCGGATAAAATCTGATTGATAGATCAGTTTGACAGAATTGACACTTTCAGAAGCGTTTATTTAATTTAATGAAACCCGAACTTAACTCACGGCAGCTATAATTTCATCCTGACAGTTTATACGCGGCAATTTCTTATAGCGCTTTTCGATAAGTATAAAAAAAAATATATATATATATATCCCCGAATATCGTTGAGAACTGCTTATAGTCGCGATCGCTCGCTCTCCCGTCACTATCGCTTCCTCTATCAGTGCTACGATGCCGTTATCATTCGTAATATCTGTGAGAGGTGTAGAACGGCAAGACGCTCTCTCGCAGCGTACACTTTTTCCCCCCTCGCTCAATTACATTTCACTCTATCGCGAGAGAGGCGGACGCTTTCACGGTACTGTCTAACGTAGCGTACGTCACGTAACGCGACCACCAATCTCCACAAAAATCAGATACCGCACCTCAAGTTCCTCCAATTCACCGAGCGAGAGAGTACAGCCTTATTTCATTCGATGCTTCCACGTCGATAAATCGCCGAATCGGCGAATTTCATTCGTCGTAAGATAGAGTCAAAATTCGCTCGACTGTTCGTCGAGCATTTGCCGCTACGGTGGTAGATTTTGAAATTACGTGATATGGAAATTACGATCAATTGCTAAGCTAAAGGTCTGACTCTCTCGTTTACTTTTACCTTGTGCAACGATATTTTGCAAGAAAATGCGTATAGGTATAGCAATTTTTTTTTCGCGAAGAAAATCCGCAAATACGCATTAAACGGGAAAGGGAAGTAACTGTGCCAGAGGTATCCTTTCTCCTCGTCCCTTCTAAAATTGCAGCTCTATTAGTTACACCTTATGGTTTGCCGTTTGCGTGGTTTTGACGCGCGCGCGTCGCGGTGGCGTGGGATTCCGGGCGCCGAAGCGGTACTCTTTCTCACGGAAAAGGAAGAGCGCGGCGGGCGCGCTTAGAATTCCGCCGCTCTGCCGCTCGCTCGCCCGACCGCCCGCTCTCGGTCCGCCATCGATCGGGATTCACAGTTCCGGGTGGTCGGAGCGAAGAGAGGATCCATCCTCCCCCGTCCATCCCGCCACAGCGGCGGCGGCGGCGGCAGCATCCACGGGATTTTGCGTGCCTCCGAGATTTCCTATCCTTCTTTCTTCTCTCTCTCTCTCTCTCTCTCTTGCTCTCTCGCCCCATTTCCGTTCTTCGCCACGGCGTCCCGCAAAATATCACCCGCTCGCGACACTCATTTTTCACGGTTGACCGTCGTCGAGGGCCACGAGATAACAACGGCGGAGAGGAAAGGTTCGCCACCGCGATAACTCTCACGGGAGAGAAGAGCCCTACCTCCTCTTCTGCTCCACTCGGTCCCTCTTACTCGCCCGCTCGCCTCGAGGGTGGCAGGAGAGTAGGTCTGGCCGGCTAGTCATTAGTCACTTTCCGAAGCAGAGGCACAGACAGGCCGCGGCTCTTCCTCCCGTCCGTCCTGCCTCGCTTCCTCCTGTTCCGCGTTCGTCTCCCCTCTCGCTCGCTCTCTCTCTTTCTCTTTCTCTCTCTATATCCTTTCTCGCTGTTTCGTCCCGCTCCGTGTACCGTCTACCGGTCGCTTGCGCTCACCTCTCTTCCTCGTCTCGCTACGTGGTTCCGTGCCTTCCTCGTGTCTCTCTCGCACCACAGTCTCTACACCGGCCACCCTTCCTTTCCCTCCCGCACCCTCGCCCCCGCTCGCCGACTACGAGACTCCGACTCCGAGAGACCCGAAGCGGTATAAGTCTCCCCTCTCGTCGGGCTCCGTCGGCTGTGGCTTCGAGACGTTCTCGCTTGCTCCCCTCATGGAGAGAAACGCCGCCACCACCGCGCTCGTGTTCGCCTCCTCTCCCGGTGCTAAGCCTCTCGCGCGTCTATCTTGATTGAGAGGGAGCGCTCCTCTCTCTCCTCGTCTCGCTACGTCGCTTCCCCGTCATTCTCTCTCTCTCTCTCTCTCTCGCAGTTACGAAGCCTAGAGAAAGCGTGAGAGAGACGGAGATAGAAAGCGGACTAACCATGCCTACGGTTGAACCTGACGAGGACGCATAGCGTAGGGAGAGAGAGAGAGAGAGGTTGTCATTGATCGTCCCGACTGCGGCTTGCGAGCCGCTAAAGGTCCCGTACAAGCACGGGCCCGCCGGCGGCGCGTAGTCGGAGCCCGTGTGTATGGGCGTACGTGCATGTGTGTGCGAGCACACGTGCGTAAGCGCTCCATCCGTCTGTCGTTCTCGTGCGTGCGGCGGCGGAAACCTTTTTCTTCTTGCGCTACTCGAATTGCAGTGTTATTAGGTTGGCTTGTAGCGATCAGGCACACGTAATGTGCGTACGGTGAGTTGATATTTTAGAAAAATGTGAAAAATGCGACAATCACACGTCCATATCCTTCGTAGACATTACGACACAGGCTAGGTATGAAAAAAATGTTCGCGGATATACCATGTCGCTGATATTAAAAACAATTTTTATTTAACTTAAAAGAAATTATAGTTAAGAATATCGATACATTATATAAATTCATTAATATATTAATACAAGTTGTATATTTTATGTCCAATGTATGAGCTGGACATAAGGCTGTCGTGACATGTTATTGAATCTCATTCACTTTCTCTTTTTCTCTCTCTCTCTCTCTCTCTCTCTCTGCTTATCTTTTCTCTGATACAAAAGATAGCATTCTCCGCATGAACACAATAATCAAGCAACCACGTTCGCCGCTAAACGCCAAACGTATGATACTGCTGACAACGGTATTTCTCGGGGAAAATTGCGAGCGCTCGGCGAGCAGTTTTTAATCAACGGGGCAAGGGAACTGGGACATCCGGCGGGCGAGGTGGCGACGACGGATATAAAGGAAAAAGACGGTCTGCGCGCGCGAAGGTTAACCAAGGCGATAATTCGTCGCTCCGATTTCGGGGGTTTGGCTCGGTTAACCGAAACCGTGGCTTCGAGGGCGTGCGCCGCGACCCTTAGCCAATAAAACAGTTGACCTCCTCGACCGGGAGGAGAGTAGCAAGGCGGAACGAGTAAAACGACGAGATCCGACGAGGCTCTCTCTGCATTTTTGGCGATCGCTGCGAATTCTTCGCTAATGGTCCCCCGTTCCTGCACTCCGCGTTTTTCGCTTCATCTCTTTTTCTCCGCTCGCGACGATTTCGGTTGCGAATAGGCCACCGTTGACGAGGCTGCCGCGTAAATAAATTGCAATCGATCGGCAACCTACCGCCGGGACGGCGACGTGATGTTTTATAGAGGAAGAATCGTTATCG